CTTATAAAATGCTTGAACTTGTTAACCTCTTGCTTTTATTTTGGTGCGTGGTTGGTTCTACTTATAAAGTTGAGCAATTCCAAAATATCCTATAAATCTCTTGATTACCAATAGTGTAACTCTAACTCTTTAATAAACAAAATCAAAAGGATACGAATCGGAGAAACTGAATATTCCTGATTTATCGGCTCTCGATAGCAGAGTTGTTATTCTTTACCCACATAACGCAATGATGACATCGCAATAGCGGGGTGTTACGCCTGTTGTGCGCCAGCAGGTCGCTTAATGGTTAGGGTATTATTTACTCATAGTTTTGTCACATTTAGCTCAGGTCTTTATATTTTTTCTACTTTGGTTGATGATCATTTCACCGCCCACGTGCTGTGCACCATTTTGCCCCCCCCACTAGGATTGATCGGCCTTGTGCGTACACATAGAGCTTGGTTTCACTTGGAGTTCATGTAGAGATTATATTATCTGTTGATTTCATTTAATGGAATTTTTTTACGTGACTTGTTAGGAGTCGTAATTTTTTCTTGTTTTTACTTAGTTGGTTGAATTTAAATACACTACAGTGCACATTGCAGAACATTGAAAATTTCACCATTTGTTCACAAAATTTCACCATTCACTCTGCATAATAAATAAATATATCTTATATTCTTTTGACTCAGCTTACTTTCTGAATAATTGTTACAAAAGCTCAGTGAACAGTTGTTCATTTGTATTCATACGTGTAATGCAAACGCTGAACAATAGGAGTTCGACCCTGGCTTTTGATGAACAGACTGGCTGCATGAACATTTTTATGATTTGTCTATTTTATGGTCCTCCACGAAGCATTCCGCCTCTTAACCAAGTACATGTAGTGTGTTTTGCTATAATCTAATTAATTCAATGTAATCTTTTCTCGGGAGTGCTATATAAGTTTGTACAAACATGTATCGTTATAAAAATGGCTCGCCAACAATCGAGAGTTAAAATCTCTGAACACTGGAAGTATGGCTGGTAGAATCACCTGGGTTGGTAGTAACACTGGTAGAATCACCTGGGCTGTATGGAAATTTTTATGGGTTTCTTCATGTGTAGCGTAGTCACGAGCCAGTTTCCTCTGAAAACACCTCTATTATGTCATCCTTTCCTTTAGACAAGTAACCCTCGTATACGTTGCTGCAATCTAAATAATTCAATGCGATCATTATAAAAATGATTGAATTAAGTTGAATATTAGTAAATACGAAGAAGTCACTAGATTGTTAATCACTGTTACTCTCAACGGCGCATTATTCTGCTTGACAATAAATGTGCGATATTTTTAATTTTAGTCCGATAGCATATGAATTCCACTGAATATGGTTTAGAATGATTTTTTTTTAAATTTAAGCTCTCGAGACTATGTGCATAAAATTCCTCTGAGTTTCAAATGAAGGGCTTTCGAGAGATTATTTGAAAGTGTATCAGATAGTCTAATATTTCGCCTCATTTTCTTTTATTTAAATGTGATACTGATTTTCTTTTTACTTTAAATTTCGAAATAAGTAGCATATTTTACATAAAGGATCAATATAGACGATTTAATACTTAACGTTTCAAATGAGCAGCCCAAGATTCGTGGTAGTAAGGATTATAAACCTAAACTGAAATGCTGTATAAACTTCCCATTTTTCATTTATTCTCTTAGTAAACTTTAGATATTGACTATATATATAAAATTAGGATATGAATATGACTAAAGTAAAAGTTGTTCATAATTTAACCATATCACATAAAGGATTTTCCTAGCTTTACTTATTCTTTCCATTTCCATTTGCGCAAATATTTTCGGATATTGATGGAAAAATTATAAAAGTTAAATTTCTAGAGAATGTTATGAGTAACATTCAGCGCAGATTAAATGATAAAAAAAGAACAAAGTTTATGAAAGAGAACAGGCTGTAAAAGAACAAGTTTATTTAAAGATTATTAAAAATTCACGTACTGGGAAAAAATGTTGTTACTGAATGATTGAAAAAAGCAGTTACATTCTGAAAAGTTGTGCTACATATTCTTCTTGTTTACGAGGTCAGTATGTGCTGGAAATTAATGAACGAAATTTTAAATCTTTATTCTTCCAAAATTCTTTTCATTGTCTTCTGTTATATAGAATACAAATTTCTTGGGAAATATCATAATTATTTACCTATGCTAAGATTATATCACCAAAAAAATTGTGATATAATGAAAACCATTTCTATTAATTAGAAATTTAATTTAATTAATTAGAATTTATAATTAGAAATTTTCTATTAATTGAAACCATTTCTATTAGAACCAAAAACTGATATTTTTGTATCGCAATATTATTTATAAAATTTCAGATTAGATATCCTATAGTAGGTAAACTATGGTATGATAGTAAGTAAAATTACATAAAGTATAGAAACATATAACAAATATAAATAATTTACATATAAAAACAAGAGGCTGAATTATTTATTCATAAAAATGTAAAGTCCACACTGTATAATTCATAAATATGGTTATGAATATACAGACTATATATATTGAGACATAATATTTAACCAGTTACTCATGTGACGCACTCTTATGTTTCTCTAATTTTAATAATTATCACCTTTTCAAACAGAAAAACCTTTCAATTTTGTAACCAGTTTTAGGAAAACTATATGTTTTAATATAAAGAGCATACATAACATGTTGAGTTCGATATAAACAACATTGATATGTTGAGTTAGTATAACCAGCATTCATACCATATTGGGTTGATGTAAAAAGCTTTAGTATTATGTCACTTTCTAATACTAGATGTTCTAGACGTTTCTCATACTAGTATTAAACTTGTAAGGTTTAATACTAATTTTATAAAAGTTAAGTTTATACGACTTTCCTATCTCTTCTAGCTTCAGCTTACAGTTCTTTACCAGAATGAGTTTTTAGAATCGCATTAAATGCAAATGAGAAGGAGTAAGAATTTAAGTCAAAGTTCCACTGACTTCGGGAGAGGGAATTAGGATTTCTGAATAGTGCGCGTTCGCCTTTTGGCTACGTCTCTCTAACTGTTACTATGCTCGGCCGTATTAAGTGCTTTTGGATAACTTCGCCAGCCAATTTAATATTACGGGCCAACTTGTTTAGAATTTGTGTTAGCTTCGGCTAAATAAAAGAATACAAACAAAATAGCAAATGAATAGATACATACGAAATCTTAATTCATATGTATCTATTCATTTATGACTTTCGTTATTCATATTGCTCGTTTACTTCTTATTTATAATTAACAGCACATTTGTTTTCAGTCAGTGTTAACTCATATTTTATATCATTATTTATATATAATAGGTGGACCGGAAAGTAATGTCGTTTCTGCGCATGTCGACAATGACATGCTAAGGGCAGAAGTGGAAGCAAATCCGTGTCAAACCTCTTACCAACCTGGGTCCCCCAAGACATTTAAAGCAGATGGAAAAATAAGCAAAGCAGGTTTGAGTCCCCCATAGTCTGTCCGAAAAGAACAAAGCACGTATCCATCACACGCAACGTATTGCTTCAACGGCACCATACGAACCGTTTTTTGATTGTTTTATTAGTGGTCCAACTGAAAACCAGTCCTATGATAACCAAACTCAAGGCAGTTTTTAATAGGGTTACAAAGGTTTTACATCCCGAAAAGCGCTTCTGGGTGTTTGATGGAGTATTCGCGAAATTGTTCATTTTGAAGTTTCAAACCTGCAACGTTATGCAGAACAATTGGATGAGTGAACCATATTTAATCGAAAAATATCAATTGTCAACAGAAAGGCTTGATTCTGCAACACACAATTAAGACCGCACTGTGCAAGACAACACAAAAATTTAATGATTTGGGTGGGGTACTGCCATACTCACCCACCATACCGCCGATATCGCCATTGGATTCCATTTATTCGATCCCTGCAACATTTTCTTAGTGGCAAAAAATTTGAACATTTGGATAATGTCCAAAATGTTCTCTTGAGATATTTTACTCAAAAACCAATTGATTTTTATCAGTCCGGGATTGAAAATCTGCCCATTAGATGGCAAAAGATTGTTGATAACGAGGGTGATTATATTATTGATTAAAAAGAAAAACTTGTTAAAAATGTATTCGTTTGAATTTAATGTAAGAAAGCGACATTACGTTCCGGTCCTCCTATTATTTCTTTTGTCTATACTAATTAATTTAAAAAGGCTAAATAAGGAAAGAATATATTTAATACATAAAAGTTACGTAAGTACTTGACGCAAAGTGCAAGCTAATGCTGCTTGTTCTGAAGTCGGATAGTGACCTGCACCAGCATATGATGCCTTCAAGTTAGTAAATAAAGGTCACTCAATAAAGATACAACAAATAAATTCTAGCTCTGAGGTATTGTGTGAGAATTTCAGAATTCAGTCCAATGCATCTTTAGCATGAAACAAGCCATGAAATTAATCTGCCTGCCGTCTAGCAATAACTGTTAACTTTAATTCATCTGTTAAATTATATACATATCGATATTAGAGATTTTAACGCCTGAAGGTGTTTTTCTGATACAAAGCTAAAACTCTGAAAAGATTGCTTTAATGTTAAAATTAAATTACAAGTACTGATAGAAATGCAATTTTAGCGTGTTGTATACTGATTCAGCGAAACAGTTATCATACTATGTTTCACGGACTTCCTGTTTTTAAAAACTGCGATTTTTCACTTTATTATGTAATTTATAGAAATTAGACAGACAACATTTTATTTATTAAGGTTATGAACATATTTTAATATTCGTAAGAATCTAAATGTTTTGTTTGTAGTGCAATAAATAGAAATTCTATTTCTACCAGTAAAATGCCTGATAAATTGCATTTTTCGCGACAGAATACTTTAGTTGTGGTTAAACTTTTTAAATTAAATTTAAAAATTAATTCGGAACAACTGCTTGCTTGAAAGTTTTCTGTGTAAAATTTTTGCATGTTTATATGTGACAAGTAATATCATTTTGCAGAGAGTACTTACTGGTGCTATGAATGTGATTCGTGGACAGATCCACGATGCAAGGATCCTTTCAATTCAACAGCCCATCCCAATGATTTGCCCCCTCTCAAACAGTGCGAGGGATGTTGTGTCAAAATCGTCATGTACGCAGCAACACGTACGTATTCATTTATATTTTATTACCTATATTTTAAAGTTATAATACTTGTATAATTAGCCGCAGGAGATTAATTAAATTAATTAATTAAATTAAAAAGTATTCTGATTGTGACATTAAATATGAACGCTTGGCTGGCCTTTTTAAACGGACGTTGCTTTTTATTGTAAAATTGAAGACGCTGTGACAAATGAAGACATATTTACCGAAATGTATTTGTTTTTAATTTTTATAAAATTTTATAAAAATAGGACAAATTAAATGAATTCTTAATTTCACCAAGTATTTCATGTGATATTAAATGCCTTTAAAGCAATAGTTTTTCAAAGTATTGATGGGAGGAGATTCTAGGTGGGCTGCGAAAAATTTTACCTTTTTATATTAGTGTGTTGTGCATTAACCCAGCTAAGGAGCTTTTAATGCGATGTACTCTTTCTAGCGCAGTTTCTTTAAATAATCATTCGTCAAAGCAACTATGAAATCTTTATTTAACAAATGAGCGAGAGTTACTTAACTTAAGCAGAACAACTACATTAACAGTCTTCACAGACATTTAAAATTGAAGATGTTGAAAAAGAACTTACAATAGACTCATTCATAAGTCATTAATATGTTCATGCTTATCTATTAGGCAGTAGTTGTAGGAGTTATAACCCAAGACGGAAGGTAACATAGCTGAAAGAGGAAAACTGAGTACGTTAATATTCTGGCTGAGGTCAAGGCATAGGCCGAATTTTCTCTCGCTAGTATATAGCTAGCACACGTTTGATTTCTTCTTTCCGTTTCATTATGCAAAGGCGACACTAATTTATTCTAAATTGCCTCTCGTTTGCTAATAAAATTCATAACAATTGAAATTGATTCCTGCAAAACTGAAGTTTACAAATTGGTTTAGTTGTAATATCCGCAGCCGTTTGCTCAGTTGAAAGATAGGATAGTTTTACAATATTTTTACAATGCAAGTGGCATATATGATGAAATTTTGTGTCAATGTCTTTTGTATGCAAACTATATATGCTTTTTAGATTCTGCAAACTTTATTATTAACTAATTGTCTTCAGAAGCTTTTATCGGTAAAATTTGAGGTACATTAAAATATTCTGCTAGCTTTAACAGCCAGAATAATTCTTGCATAGCTTGCGTAAGTGCAACATATTCAGCTTCCGCTGAGGATAAAGAGACACACGTTTGTTATCTCGAATACCACAAAATATAATTCTTGCCTAATAAAATGGATTTCCTGTTTTCAATATTTTATCTCCAATCAGCATCTGAAAAACCTGTAAGATTAAGTTCTTCAGACGAAATATGTGGAGATAGATATTTTGTTGCAATTAAATATTTAATGATTCTTTTTACTTTTCCGTCCCTTTGACGTGGATTATTACATTTTCCGCTAAATCTATGTGTTGAAACTGCGATATCTGCTCTTGTGATAGACGATATATAAAAGACTTCCGATAGCTTGGCGAAATTTATCATTTGAAGATGGAAGATTTTCTTCTTTGTTTAGACTAAAATAATTTGTTTCTTTTTCTATACTAGTAGGTTTAGCTTCTTCAAATTGAAATAGTTTGTCTGTTTTATTTGTTTATGGCAAGTTTGTCTGTTTTATTTTACTGAGATAAAAGATAACTTCCATCTTCTTTTCGATTTATTTCCAGGCCTAAGAAATATTTAGCTTCACCAAGATGTGTTGCATGATAGCGTTTCTTTTAATCGTAATTACTTGAAAAAATAGTCCTTCTTATTTAGAACTTATTAAAATATCATCAACATACACAATTATATTAATTCTTTAAATACGATTTTCTTTTGTGAAAAGACACGGATATACTTTGCGTTGACTGAACCCAATGTTTTTGAGTGTATTTTCAATTTCTGCATTCCACCACGTAACCGAATGTTTGAGACAACAAATCAACTTTTATAATATATGAACTTTATTTCCTTCTTCCGGAATTAGGAATCTTTCCGTTTTTCCCATGTATTGTTGCGTTATTTTCCTTCTGATACCAGTTGTTGCGTTTTTCTCTTCACGTTTGTACGAGGTTCGTGTGGATTTGGAGTGAATAACGACGACACTTGATGAAGTATCGAAACACACGTTATTTGCCAGTATTGTCATGACACTCCAAAAACACGTTTTACAGTCACGATGAACTCCTATAAACCCTGACAGGATCAGCGAACTCAGCCTTTTCAGTTCTCAGGCTATCAACGCTGGAGACAGCTTCACTGCAAAGCACAGAGTGCAGCTTGACGCTGCTGGTCGTTCCGACTCCACGTACTCTCCATACTCTTCTCCCACGCTACAACTCGCGATGCACTCGACGACACTATCACTGCTCCGACTCTCGGTTCAGTCCTTCCCGGAGCTCAACACGTTCGCTCGACGATGCACTACCGTGATACATTAAGAGACTCCTTCGGTTGCACTCGACGCCCATTCGCACTGCTCGTTGCCCGGCTGTCAACTCGATCGACTACGCACAGACTGACTACTCTAGACCACTATCTCGCACTCAACTAGGCCCACACACTAACTGACTTGCGGACCAGCCCGGTTTCTATATCTTTTTCGGCTTGGTGGTTCGAGAACATCTGGGCTACACCAGTAAGATTCGTTTCCGAAGGTTCTCAACCTACCATATAATCGTCAATTTTGTCGCCAAATAAGGCATTTCTCCCCAAATGTGGCAACCCTGCCTTCCTTTGCCATTTATGGCAACAGTAAAACTGCTTTGCGGGGAAGCCATCTCACAGCGCCTTGACATTCCGTAACAGTATGTTTCTTCATTAAACTTGCCATGCAGAAATGCTGGCTTTAACGTCTAGTTGATGAATGTTTGCATTATTATACGCTGCTTATGTTAAGAAAACTCTGAATTGCATTGGGTTTCACTACTGGTGAAATTGTTTCATCAAAATCATTCCCTTATTTTTAAATAAATTCTTTGGCTCCTGATCTTGCTTTGTATTTTATCTTCTTACTAGTTTCATTATATTTGGTTTTAAACACTTATTTGCCGCTTACTGCACGTTTTCCTGGTGGTAATCTGCAGTTGAATTTGGTTATTCTTTAGAGATTATTGCTCCTTCTTTCCCATCACTTAATCCAAGCTTCTTTAATCTCATTTGGGTAAGCTTAGAATTTCTTCAGAGATTTCTGGATTTTATTTCGAGATAATATTGATCCTTCGTCTTCTGCTTTATGAGAGTGTGCGGTGGAAGAATCACGTAGTTGCTTGCAAAGAGTATTTATACTAAGTATGATGCACAAGTACGGATAATCTGTGATCGCTTAATTTAGCTGTTCTTCTAGAAACTCCGCCGAGTGATATTTCTTCATTACTTTGCCAAGTACTGAAATGAATTAATTCTGAATCATCAGTACAGTTTTCTACTAGTTTGCCAGATATAGGCGCGTTCGGAAAATTTAACAGTTCTACTGAATATTATTTTCCTTCCAACTGAAGTCCTGTACTTCGTAACTTTTCTTCGTAGCTCTTTATTGATTAAGACGGAAGGTAACAGATAAAAGTTCAAAAGCGAGTAACCAATACCCTTGCTCAGATACAAGGCATAAATTGAATTCTCTCTCACCAATGTATAGCTTGTCCCACGTTCGATTACCACTACTACTTTCATTGTAAAAAAGATATATTAATTTATTCTGACACTTTATCATCCTATTTGATTTCTTTTACTTATTCTGTAATATATATATTATGTATAAATGAATATATAAAAAGTGAAAAGTAGTTCAAAATCTAATTTAGTTGCACTCTGAAAGCAGCAATAAGCGATGATAATAATGCAAAATAAATTAAAATTGAAAAATATTTTTAAATGCATCCGTGCCGTATTTCATTCGGAACAAATCGTATGCAAAAAACAAACAACCAAAAGCACAGTCGCAAACATCATGAAGGCTAAAAAATGTCAAAACTATAAACGAAAGAGGAAAAAAGAAATTTAGAAATTTACTCTTTCGCTGCATCGTCCTCAGGGAGTTAGTGAAGTAAGCGAAGTCTGCTTCAATATAAAATAATTACTTATGTTAGATTTTTAAGTTTTTTTGTGCTATTTTGATGCTATAATTTTGCAAAATATTATTCTAGCCTATAGATTTCAAATTTTTATGTTATTAATTTTTATGTTTTGGATTGCTTGTATTTATTCGTTTTGTTTTTGCGACTCGATCTGTTCAAAATAATTTTTTTAAAAAAATTCTTGAGCATTTTTATGATTTTGGATTTTATGCACTACTAATTTCGGCTACATACGTATTTTATGCACTACTAACTACGAATTGTAAGGGTTGTATGGATAAAGATACGGATTACTTTGACTAATTTTCTGAGATTATTTTAAATATTAAACTTTTATTTGCGTCTTTTAAAGTTCAGAAACAGGCTGATTTGTGTTTTGCTTTCGTTGATGACTGATGACGATGTAGCGAAAGGGAAAAGATGTAAACTTCTAAATTTGCTCTTTTCCCTTTCTAATAATTAATAATTTCTTTCGTATTTTACATATTATATATATACATAAATTAGGACCTAAAAGAATAAAATCTAGAGCTTAAGCTGCGTAGTCTGAAAATTTAATTTTACAAGATACCGTTTTCACTAGAAATGATTATACAATAGTTTATTTTCACTTTCCAGGATAGTATGATCTTTTTCTAGTTAAACGTGTACTAAACAAAATTAATATATAGTTAATATATATATATATATTACATTCCTTACATATACATTTATATATACATGTAGTATTTTAATTGCGAAGAAGGAGTCCGGTACTTTTAACTTGTGGCTATAGACATATCTGAATGGAAAGGCATACAGACGACGATGACAAAATTGGATTTCGATGACTCACCAATCGTTATTTTCACAAATATCAAATCATCTTGTTAGGAATTTATACAATCATAGTTAAATACGATAAATTTTATGTGCACGCATTTTAAAAGTACGACGTAAGCATTTTAGACAGGACAGCGTAAGCGGCGCCGAGTTGTTTGCATGGCAGAGTCAGGAAAAGGAATCACGTAGTTGCTTGCAAAGAGTATTTATACTAAGTATGATGCACAAGTACGGATAATCTGTGATTGCTTAATTTTAGGTTGTTATGTAACATGGAATGATCTCGAATTTGGGAGAACAGATGCATTTAGGGAGGAGAACACCAAATTTAGAGTAGTTATTTTTGAGGTCGCCAATGAATTCTTAAAGCAGCGTATTTTATTATACCTTATATATATATATATATATATATGTAAGGGAAACAAGAAAAAGACGTAGCAATGTTGATGGCGTAGCACACAGATCCATATTGAAGAGAAAGAATTCTGATTGCGTAGAACACTAAAATGTTGAATCCGTAATGACTAGGAGACTTGGCAGCCGAGGAAGATTAAATATTCATTTTTTTATTTCTGTAATGACTAGGAGACTTGGCAGCCGAGGAAGATTAAATATTCATTTTTTTATTTCTATTGACATTTGTGGATACAATCCAGTTGGCACTCTAATAGTGCCTACTCAACATTTATATGTAAGATAAAAAATACTTAAAAATAGATTTATAATTTAGTAATAGCCTCTTAATTCCTCTTTTTTAATTTAGTTGTTTCCTCTTTTTTCTAAAATTTATTTTCTCTTTATACTATTGTAGCTTCTGCGTATCTTCCTACCGTTTCCTCTGTGCTCCCTTCCTGTCCCAATAGTATTGAAAATGTAAATGTTCTTGAATAGGCACAATTAGAGTCAAGTAATTGTGGCCACAAATGTCAATTTAAATAAAAATGGAAGTTAATCTGCCTCGATTGCCAAGTTTGTTAGTCATTACGAATTCAACATTTTAGCATTCTACGCAATCAGAATTCTTCCTCGTTAATATAGACCTACGTTCTATGGCATCAACATTTGCTACATCTTTTACTGTATTTCTGTGTTTCTGTATCTCAGTACTTTAAATTTGTTTTGCACTTCAATACTTCTAAAATTGTTTTCATCATATATATATAATTGCAGTTACGAATATATATTTATGCATTAGCATTACATATACATATATAACTAATTAAAGTAAAAAGAACAAACATTAAAAAAACTTTTCATTCAATCATCATTTCATTGTTTCTAATTATGTATGTTTGCATACAATTAATTACCTTAATTTCTTTTAGCGAACTCTTTTTTCTTTCGTAGTAGCTTTGTACTACTATGAAAGGAAAAATATATTAAGTTTGAGAAATACTAATTTAGTGTGTTTGAAATATTTTGTGACATAACGAGAGCTCGAAGGTCACTATGCTTGATAGAGCATTTCCAATGAGAAGACATACTGCCAATGAGAATGCTGAGAAAGCAGTTGCAAGCCAAACACAGTATTAATCAAATTTCGTCTCACCGTAGTACCGTATTAATCAAATTTCATCTCAAACATCTGTCATCGTCCTAGATAGCCATTGTGCGGGGACGATGCTTTGTTTATTTATAGAGTAGAAATTCCATATACTTATAGAAGAATGTGTATTTTCTCATCAACATGAAGCGATAAATTACTGCAGAGTGTTTCACATGGATGTCCCATAATTTAAATACATAATTTTCTCGAACTTTTCAATAAACTGCAGAAAAACGTGAGCAATGAAGACGTTAACAAGGGGAGAATGCTCTCTGTTAACTCTCTATAAACTGTTTTACTTGTTTCAGTTTTAAAATAATTGTTATAATTTTCATATTGTTTGCTCATACTCTTTTATCTATAAATAGTTTTCTTGTTTTTAGGCGCGTCCACAGATGTTAATTTATCGTAAAAATGTACAGAAGAATTTTTGACGCTACGTACATTCGGTATTTAGGATGTGACTAAAATATTTAGCCAAAGGGGAAAACGTGATGACTTAGCTGAAGTTTTTCCCATGAGGATACGGAAGAATAACCGTAACCAGGTGTTACAGGAGAGGAAAGGATTTGTGACATCACGCAAGTAGGAACGATCATATGCCGGAGTATGGGGCCGCAGTGCTCTGGTTTGCCTCTAATCAGATGATGTATTTTTGATAGTCGTACTACCAAAAAATGATCTTTCAGAAGTAAATGGAAGTTGAAGTTATAGTAAGGTGATCTCCATATATGGAGCAAATTGCTTCCTATGAAACACTATGTCAATTTAAACTATTACTATAATTGACGAGACCTTCAAGGTTGAGAAACTTGCTGAGCGATGTAAAACTTGACCAATCAACCGCAATTTTTGCACTTGAAATCCTGGACAAAATGGATGAATGCATGAAGGATAGTTATAGGGTGAATTTCTCAGCTGAAACACTATTTCACTTATTAAACCGATCTGTTATCCAATTATTGGTGAATATAGGCTGCGCGCCGCATTATTTTGCAAGGTTATTCTTCGGTGTTATGTCATGAACCTATTTCTTTTCCCTTATTTTAGCCCATAATCTATTTTCTCATGGAATAGAATGAGAAAGAACTACACAGTTTTAAATCAATTGATTACAATCTCTTTACTTTAAGAAGGTCTGTATCTCAAAATGCATTAAGTGTTCCTTATATACATGTCTAGATAATCCTTGGAATCAGGATTATCTAGACATGTATATAAAAAGGTAAGACTTCCAGAAAATTTTTATTAGCAAGCAGTAAATGCGTAGAGGGATCCACAAAATCAGGAATCGGGCTCCTAAAAGTAATATCATAATATGGCATTGCTCTGTGTAAGATTAGCATTGCATTGTAAATTGGCATTGCATTGTAAAAATTGGCATTGCATTGATTGGCATTACACTAACGTCATTGCTCAGTGTAAGATCTTTTCTACTATAAAAAGTATATTTTTAATTTAGTATTGTAATAAATAATATAGATACAGAAAAACATGTCGGAAACACTGCATATTTTAGTGTTTCTTTTGATTAATTTTTTATTTAAATTTAATTATTATTATTATTACAGCAAAAGAAGTAGTGCGCCGAACCTGCACGAAAAGTCTCCAAATCAACCTGTTTATGGTAGACCACGTGTGCATGTACGAAGGAGGCAATACAGGACACATGTGTTTCTGCGAACGGGACAACTGCAATGGTGTGCTGGCGCTCACAGCGGGGTTCACGGCACCTCTGCTATGTGCCTTTTTGAGTGTGGTATATTTTCTTGTATATTGAGTGTGGTATATTTTATTTGAGTGTGGCTCAACGGCACTCGAGAATACTCTGAAGACATCTTCGGGCAAAAGAGGCATGTTGTTAGCAAAGTTTGTTTACAACTCTGTACAAAATTTTCTTTTTAAGAATTGCGAATGTAATTATTTCTTTAACTCTTGCATCAGCGGCATTTTGAGCTCCTAGCAGTTAGGACGGATGTAGATCTACTTTGTGCAGCAATATGAAGTATTCTCATAAAACCCTCAGTGTGCTAATTCTTGCATGATCCCATTCCAAAAATATAAACAAATATCATTTAGTGATGAACTAGATATTTAAATTCAGACTAAGAACAGTATTGTTATGTAAATGAAGTTTATAAAGTGATATTTAAGATTAATATACATTAAAATGGGGTAAATGCTTTTCAGTGTTGTATGGTAAGTTTGTTTTATGTTGATTATGCGAACAGCTTGGATTCTATTGGTTATATTCAGTTATTCTCATTATACAAAATACTACCTTTTATCAAATTAAAGAATTAATTTTTTTTTCAAATATGATTCAGAATGAAACTTTCGTTTCCTTAACGCACATAAAGATAAACAGCCTAAAATTTTTGTATTGTCCACAAGTCACCCCGTTGTATTTAATAAAAGATACAGAAAAATGACAGTTGTGTGTATCACTAAAACTATTATTTTTGGTTTTGCTATTTGCAGAATTAAAATTTTCTTCTGTGAAGTGATTCTATATTCTTAATTTCGAGATGCTTTGTAATATGTTAGGTCACATCTAAAAAGATATTCAAAGTATACAACAACTTAACAATTTGTTAAGTTTTAAAGCATATGTATTTCTTCTTTTATTCCAATATCAATGCTTTCAGCATACCGAATAATTTTCATACATAAAGACAAAAGTGTGCATTGCATACATTGGTTTTATATAAAAAAAAGTTTTGTATTTATTATTCAAAAATAATACGGATAAATGTTCGATTAATTGCCAAAGTCTCCATTTGAATTCTGCTGGCTAGCTGGATTTTATGGAAATTAAGAGAAAAGATTCTTATTTATATAAAAATATGCTTTCACACCATGCATTACAATTGGTAATTTACAGTAAAGTACGGAAGAAAAGCAGACGGAAGCTGTACTTCCGTCTACCATTTTAACTTTAAATTTCTTTTAATAGTCAATATCTTGAATTTTTCTTATTGTGTGACTCTTGAAAGATTATCTAGACATGTATATAAAAAGGTAAGACTTCCAGAACATTTTATCAGCAGGCAGTAAGTGCGTAGAGGGATCCAAAAAATCAGGAATTGGGCTCCTAAAAGTAATATCATAATATGTTTGGAGCAGCGTCGCGCGTTTTATCTTTTCGATGCTGAAATACCAACAATGCATAAGTAAACAGACAAGTTGAGGGAACAAAAAGACACACGTTCCAATTTCAGGCGAGTACCATAGGTATCGAAGAATAGGAATTCCTGTTTTGGCAAAAATTGGGAAAGCGGGATCAGCGAAACATTGTTACATAACATTGACGACTTATAGATCTAAGTGCATGATTTAAGTTGATCCTTTGATGTGTTGAATTAATACTTTCACAGTAAACTTGCTTTTACTGCGTTTTTTCCGAATTTTATGGTTGTCTGCAGAATTTTACTGCTTTCATGGTGGCTACGTATTGGTTACCAAGAACTAGCGGAACCTTCATTGCTATTCTAAGACTTCTCAACGAACAGATTGTTTGCATCACAAACTTGCTACAACATTCCATAAGTTTCTATTAGGTATTTGCTTAAATGAACATGGAACGTCTTTTTTTACTCATGGCAAACCAAAATATATCTTAATAAATAATCCGATATATCAGAAAACATCTCGCGGTATAATTGGATGAATTGCTGCTCTGTATAAGATAATTTAGATAAACTCCACTTTGGATTATGGTAGATTGGCTATCAATATACATTCTTTTCTGGTTCTCGAATTTTGGGATTCTATCATGTATAACGATTGGATTTCGGGTGCCTGCAATGTTTGGCCAAATGTTTTATTACCTGCAGTTTACAGACAACTAATATGTAATTTTTCCAAAGTTATTTTATTAAAATTTTATTGTAATCACTAGTGATGTAACGAATTATAAAACGTACAAATAATAAAATTGCAACAAATCAAAGCATATACGCTTTGATAACACAAGCGCACATATCACGGTTTAAGCCATAGATGTGATAAACTGCTATGTTGCTTCAAATGCTGCTGATTTCACAAATGTTGATATTTTGTGCCATAAGTAATAACATCATTGTATTTTAAGTGTGACTATTAACACGTGAGTTGATTATGTCTTCTTAATTTTGGTGTTGTTATCTGCATTGTTTTAGTCTTATGCATTCAGATTTGTGTACCAGTTCTAAAATTTGATTGTGGTGAATATTACGTATATATGCGTCTGCTGCCTTACCGTGCAATAAGTGCAATTCATGTTTTATTGGTTGTTGCTGTTTTGATGGGGAACTTGCGTTTTCTATGTATATAAAGCGGAATTCGGAAAGAATGCGGGTTGAAAACAGAATTAACTGCTGTAAATTGCTTAAGTGTTGTTACAGTGAAACACCGGTTCTTTGAGGTAGATATGAATACGTAGCTCCCTGAATACTGTACATTAGAAGAGCGAATATTTAGAATTATAGCATTTAAATTTATTCACCGAAAAGTTAATATTTTCAGATTATTTGAGGAATAGACTCGTTGAATATATTTTTCTTTCCTTTTTTTTTCTCATTTTTAGGGAAGAAATATACAAATTTTAATTCGTTTTAAAGTTACCTTTTTAACGACAACAAAAAGTTTGTCTCATCTTAACAATACCTGTAAATTAGATGCTTTGCAATAAGCTATATGTGTAGAAAATAGCCCATCCTAATTAATCAAAATAATCGCCGTTTTCGTCTGCGTAGAACGAATAAAACGTTTTCTTGCGTTACTTTCGTCGATTATTATCAGTGTGGTGCTTTCAACAACGGTGGCTGCAGAATAAAATGCAATTAGAGAGATTTTTTCTATGTGTCGTTATTATTGAACGGCTGCGTTTGGTTGTATGGTAAATATTTTCAACATGACTGCTAAATGAATTGAAGCGGATTGCGAATTATTAAGGAAAGTGACATTTTAATAGAGAACAACAAACTGGTACTTCTTGATTGTGAACCAAAGATAAATTTTGAAACAAAGCATGCACTTAATGTAAATAAAATTGAAATACATTGCTGTGCATTGAAACTGCAACACAGTAACGATCTAAATTGAAAGATAAAATGAGTTTACGGAATAATCCGTGACACGCAAGGTAAATGATTATCAGATACAAGTCTTGCAAATAAAGAACATAGTGATAAGTATTCTTTTATCAATCAGAGACAACCGACTGTATACGGGACGCCTTGAAGTCACAGTGATTCCACATGGTGAGGTGAGGAATGTTATTCTATAAATCATCTATATGAATTTAGAATTGTTGGTGGTAAACTGCAAACGATGCTCATTGTGTGATTACACCTCGCCTGTATTCTGCTCAGCCATAAAACATATAGAGAACAGGCAGAAAAAGAAACTGTTCGTGTTGAGTACATATAAACTTTGGACAATACAGACACTTTGAGAATAAAAACTATCTTGCCGAAAAGATGTAAGAAGATATTCTGTGATAAGGCAGGATTTCAACGTTTAAATTGTCTGTTGAATACTGTTGACTATTCATAATCTTGTACTTCAGAAAAGGAAAGAATGTGACTCAAACCACCAAGCTTGAGGTAGACCAAGCATGGTGCTATGCAGTGTAACGTCTTATATGCTGTTCTCCACGATATCCCGTAAATAAGGATTTGGGTGTAATGGTAGAGGCCACAAAGTGTAAGGTCATCTAAAAAAAACTATTCCCATTCATCATCCGGCTCTGACGTCTCTGATGTAGGATCAAATGATGTTTGAGGATAAAGAGTGAGAGTTAAGGGCCCTCGTTACAACAATCGTCGAAGATCGGTATTCGCAGAATCTCTTGTTTTCTCTGTGCTCCCTTGAGGCGTCAGAGCTGAGGAAACATCTCTGCCGTTCGGTGTACTTGCTTGTTTTTTGTATCCGAAATGTGCATTAAAATTTCAGATTTCTAATGGCGACGGGTAGAATTTTCATCTGTCGTCATTCACATGTAACTGCAGTAATTTTCTACGAACACTTACTAAAGTATCACGATTTGGCAAAACATCTTCTCTTAGTCAACATTTTTTTCTTTTTCATATATCGTCTATTGATTGTAAGTTCCTCTTCTTCTGCATAAGGCCATATTTGCCTATAAATAGCAAATATTAGTTCGATTTCCTAGTAAAATGTAGGACGAATTGCTTGCTGAGACCTTTTTTTATATTGCTGAATTATGGTTTTGCCATATTTGAACATGTGTCACATGTATTGACACTAAATATTGCTTCTTCCAGGATAAGCTGTTTATTTCGTAAAAGTCTAGCCGACCTCATAGTCACTTTCACAGTGTTGCAGTTCCACGGAACAGCAGTGAATTTTAAATTTCTAAAATGGAATTTTTTCTTCAATTCAGAATAATAATAAATCCCAATAAATCAGCTGATGTGTAAAAGACGTTTAATTTGTTACTTGTACTTATGTATGACAACATTTTGTATTGAACAATGCCATAAAGATAACATAACTTCCAATAATTTTGAAATATGCACAAATTGTTTATTGTATTCCTAATTAGAATATAATTTGCATCCATTTCGTTCTATGCACCATTTTATTCTCAGTATCCATTCATTAATAATATATTTATTTAATAAGCTATATTACATATTAATTTACGAAATACGATAACGTACATATTAGTCTATATAATAAAATAAATTATTTTTATTTTAATTTGCTAGGGTAAATCAGAAATAGAGCAAAAAAAGTTAAAATATGCAAATATTTTATTAGACACATTATATATAAATTTTTATTATTAGGGTAAGAAAAAAATACACGTTGTTTGTAAATGTTTATAATAAATAATTTAATGAAGTGATATTTTTATAATGAATTCAAAAGGTTAAAAGAATAAACTATCAAAATTGACCCAGTCGTTTTTTAAAATAAATAATAAATGTTTACAAACTAAGCATTAAATTTGACAAATACTGACCAACTGAAGGTCGAAATGCATAAGATCTAAATGCTAACTGTTATTTTGTTTTATTCTATATTTTGTAGCATTATATGTGTATTGGAAATCGACTTATATGAAAAACGCATTAGTTAGGAAAATTAATTCTTCATGAGAAATATAATGAGACATAGTCACTTTATTACTTTTAATTGTTTTAATAAAAAAAATTAGCAAATCCTTTGGGCTTTTAGATAATAACAAGGATGCTTGCAGCAAATTATTGCAAAAGTGAAATTCCCCAAATCTATGCAAGAGTACAATTTCTTAAGTTTTTGGAATGATTAATTTTTTCTATGTAACTTTACATATCTATTAATTTGTAAATTTAGAATTCATTTAAAAACAACAATAGGTTCCAAATTTCCTATAATTTATATTGCATATATTTGTGCATAATTATTATATTTTTTTTTTTTCTTTTTTTAACAAGTCTAACAGTTTTAAAACTCGCTATATAAGGAAAACTGGGAAATAGTCAGTCTTATAATCTAGAGTGAAATCCTTACTCATGTTTTATTTGAAACGGGTTCATACATAAATAAAAAATTTTATTATAATATTTTCTCTTCGTCCACCCTTTATATGTCTTAAAATTATGAGAATATGAAATTTTTGATTCTCTAAACGGCATATTTACTCGTGATTATTATGTAGTTTTGGATATTGTGTGTACCTTTTATGATTGTTTATTTATGTTAAGCTTTACTTACAATTGTATTTTTTATTTATGTGTAGTTGAATTTTACTATATACAATTAGAATTCTGTATTAGAAATAATATCTAATAAGATTATTGCCCATTTTTTGCCGTTTTGTCGAAAACTGCTCTGTATTTTAAATTAATATACGCACACTGTAAGCTACTTCATTATCATATAAGAATTTAAAACTGAAACATATCTTTAAAATTTATTTTCCTCAAAACATTTCTATATGCTTTTTATTTTATTGCATAAAATAGTATGTTAGTGGCTATTAATATAAAATTATACTATACAGTACAGCATACAAAAGTCTTGCCAAATTCAAAATATACGTCGGGAACAAACGATAAACAAATAAACCATTTTAGCAATAATTATATATTTTTAGCTTTCTGGAGATATTATTGTAGTATTTTTTAACAAGCAATTTTTTAAGTATTAAAAGTTGTAAATAACGAATGTTCTTTTTTGTAAATGTGTGTAAATTCATATCTTTCTTCTGTGAAAATTTTAATTAGTTTTAACCCATTAATGGATTACTGCGTTAAATTCCGAGATTTTCTAGTTTTGCTGTGGAAATATGTAGTTTACCTCTTTAAGCCATTTGTTTAAACTCAAAGTTTTAATAATTGTATAAAAGCTTTCAAATTATTATTAGTTTGTAAAACAAATCATAATGTAATAATTTTTTAATTTCATAGAGTCTTAGATTTATCAGATTTGTTTTATATACTTGGAAATTTTAACTTAAAATCTTCAATTTTTTATGTTTATAAATGTTAGAGGTAAAAGAGCTGACAAAATTGTTTTTGATACATAATTTATCCGTGTTCTTAATTGGGTATTAATAGAAAAATCGCAAAATATTTTCTGAATGGTTCATAACTTTTAACATAAGCATTTTATTTTAAATTTTAGATCTTTTCTTTTTAGAAGTTACAGACTCTAACTGACATTGTAAAAAGAATGCTCTTCTGAATAGTCTATGCAACCTCAATTTTTTGAATTTATAAGAATGAATATTTTTTCTGAAATTATTTCTTCTGATTATATTTTTTTATAATTGTATTCCCTGTAAATATAAATGAATTGTATTTTCATGTATTCATTCATTGTATTTGGTCTGTTGGTTTTGAATGCATGTTATAGACCCAAATATAAAACAGCTTTGCTTATGCGATGACCCTATGTTCTTGAAGGCGACAAGGATAACATAAGCGGGTGTCATATAAGTAAACTTGATTTGTTGAAGGTGTGCTACAAGAAAGAGACTTAGTAAATGCAAAATAAATATTAAGTACGACTCCTTACATAAAAGTTAATGGATAAATGATAAATTAACATATTTTTTAATTATTAGATTACACAAATGAGACGTATATTTTTCAACAGAGTTAAGCATTAGATATAATTTAGTCTTATATTTGGGCCAATATAGTAGTTATGAAAGTATATAGTCAGTCTTATATTTGGGCCGTTACATTAGTTATAAAAACAGTGAATGTAATTTTATGACGATATTATACGAGTATTAAATTATAACTAAATTAGAATTTTATACCCATAATCGTGAAAACAGTATATTTTAAAACATTTTAGAATGTTGTTAAATAACAGAGTTATAATATTATTCATTAAAATTATTATCAAATGCACAATAAAGAAAATAAATATGATATCAAGTAATGAACAGTCAATTATCACGTATCAATTTTACGTTATTTTTACGTCTCAATTTTTTGATAAATTTCATATGTAAATTAAAATTGAGCTTATATTTGAAATTTGTAGTTGTTATTTAAAATCAAAATATTTTAGGCTATTATAAAATATTTAAATACTTTATTAAAAATTTGGAAAGTTTAATAGCATTTTTCAAAAACTTCTTCAAAATATATATGTAATATTAAATTAATATTTTGGACTGAGGAAATTAAATTAAGAGTGTGTAATGACTGGAATGTGAAAGTGTTTCTCAGATTTTAGTAAGAAATTTTCAAAATAAGTACTTTCTAACCGAAATGAATTCGGGTACTAATTTGCGCTAAGATAAATAAAGACGTTTATAGCTTTGTAAAAAAAACATTTTGTAATAGTTTCATGTGTAAATTGAATACATATTTAGTAAAACATGAAATTTTAAGAAATTTAATACATTATAAATTTAAATTAAAGTATTATATGCATTTATATAAAATAAAATGTGAATGCTTTAAAGTTGATTTAATGATAATTAAAATATATAATTATTAAAGCATGTTTACATTGAGATATAATTGTAGAAGTTCTGTGTTCTCTGAATTTTGCAAATAAATTACGTGCATTTGAATACATAAAATTTAAATACCTAAAAGATATTAATGCGCATAAATTAATTTGAACATTTCCACATTTGGATCATTTAATTTTTGTCCTTAATTTAAATTAAAATGAAAAATTTACTTAAGGGCTATTTTACATGAGCTAAGTGAAATTAGTATTTAAGTTTTAAACACGTTTTCTCTGATTGCTTATGTTCTTGTTTTTTAGAAAGTTAATGATTTTGATTATTTGAATTAGTAATGATCTTTGCACTCTATATAGTTAGTTGAATTCATCCAATTTTAATAAAACTTCCATCTGCTATTTGTGGAATTAAACTAACTGTATAAGTTGTTACTCTTTAAGAAAATTTAGAATTAGCTAACTTAGTGGAAAATGTGACAGTTGTTTCTGATTTCGCACTTCCTTTTTGATTTAGGTGTTGCTTTTCGAATTTCACTGATAGTTGCCTTAGCTTCGTGCATTACTGTACTAGTGATTTTCTAGTTACAGTGTAAAAGCTTCCATTTGTGGAAATTCTGACATATGATCTATGCACTTAACAAATAGTTTAACTAGAATATCATGAGAAAGTTGGGTTTTGGCAGAATGAAAGTTCTGTGTAATTGTGCACCGTGTTTCCTATGCAAGCGTTATAAATTGCACTACGGGCTGCAGATAAAATATTTCTTCATTATCAGATTATTTATTCTCCTTATCGTAATATCAGCATTATCTTTTCAATTAACAAAAGCTTCACATTTAGCATAACTGTTACGAATGAAAACACTTTTTTTTATTTTAATGCTTATTTATTGTCTTTTAGATTTCAACTATTAAAACGCAGGATTACTAAATTGGAACAAGAGTGAATAAAAGTATTCTTGCACGGAGAATGTTAGAAATTATCATCGTATTCTTCCATAAACAAATCTACAAACACGAAATATATTTCTCTCCACTTTCGTGGAGGGGCTTACTGACATATTACGTTGTTTATTATCTTTTCAATTCTGGCAAATCTTCTAACACAACAGAATAGCAAGCCTCTATTCTTCATAAGCAGTAGAGTAGCAAGCTTCTATTCGGCTTAAGTGTTTTCACATTTCTCCTCAGCTGTGTTTGGGATTCTCTCTGTAATGAGACGAATTTCACCGAACGTCGAATTCATTTACTCCAAACAATAATACATCCAAATATTTGCTATGGTTGCAGTAAATAATGTTTATAAATAAGAAACTCAGGATATTTTAAATAGCATTATATTTCCAATGTGGCTACATAGCAAAAACACTAAATATGAAACTAGCCTTTTTACTTAAGCTTATTTTTTGTTAGTGAGACTAATTCCAGTCCAGTTATTTCCAACACTTTCAATGTTGTAATGAGTTAGTTTCATATTTTATTATTGTTTTAGTCAATAGATGGCCTTACTTTTGTTTTCGTTTCGTTTCCACATGGTGGGTTTTTTTCTGCTAAACTTAATTGTTTGCTGCTCCGATTTTCCAAATATTTTACTCCCAAAGAAGAGCCGTTGAAAATCGATACTATTTTATTAAAAATCTACTTCGGTTTAAGTTAATTTTTGTCTAATTTTAATCTATATTAGTTATTTGAAAGTATGTTATGGATTAAAGATACTTCCTATGGATGAAATTACATGAAAAATGAAAATTTAAGAACGTGAATTTAAGCTTTCATTATTTGAAAATTTCTATATAAAAGGATCCAAATTTTCCAAAAGTGATTATTCATTCAGTTCTAAATATTTTGTTCGATAGTTAATATATTCTTACACAGATAATATCCACCTTACGAAAGGGTTACGTTTCCGAAAGACCGTTTGTACGGCGAATTTATTCATAAAATATTACTGCGTTCATAAAATGTTGTTATGTTAGGACTTATCTCACTTATCTGACAGTAACATCAGAACAAGCCCACAAAATTCATCGTGACAAAGAGGGCAAGATTGCGCGCAAAAGCTTTGAGCACCATACAAGTGACAGTAAGACTTCGGTCAGTTCCGCCCGTAATTTTGATGGAGAGCACCCCGGGAGGGAACGAGTCCGAGAATCTCCCCTCCCTTTTCTCTTATGACCAACATCTCGAGATGCCTTTCGGGTCGCCGCGTATTTAGAGTGTCCCCATGATACACAGACACTGTACATTAACAAACATCTCTGGCGCCTTTGAGCCCGGGCCTTTCGGTGTGGCAGTTAGCGGCGCTAACGACTATCTTAGTTGGATGGCAAGCGAAGATATTGATAGCTGATCTGAAGAAGCTTCTCGATAAATTAACCTGCTTATATTT